ACACTTTAAGAACTTTCAAAAACAAAGTATTTTACAGTATCTACAATTGTTGCCCTTACTTAAATGCCTAACAAATTCAGAACACTGCTATAAAATGCTCTAGTTTATCTCAACTTGCATTAAGACCACAAATGCTCCTTTTACAGTCTTTCAGAATTATTTTTGTCGATGCAAATACTGTCATTTCACTTACAGTAATTTTTTATAATAACAAAGAATCTTAAAACTTCTTTCTATCTTTAATGCTTCTCTGAATTCATATAATCCATTTCTGATAATCCTATGGCAGTGAATAAAGTCAACTTACAAAGTAAGCTAAAATGAAAATGGAATGCTGAATGAGTTCCATGTAAACAAGGATGAGGCACTAAGGGTTCTGTGAAAGCACTAATCAAGAAATACAATACAAATACATAAATGAAACATATATACATACATAAATACTTACACACAACCACATGCTCAGAGGATCCTCCTTGTACACTCACATGAGTATAACCAATATTCAATCTCGTCCAGAACCAGTAGTGCAACACATAAACCTTACACAGGAGGCTCTTATTCTCATAAGGGCAGGTGGGTGGGTGGTTCCCACTGGAAGTCTTATACAAGGTGGTTGCCAAGAGCTATAAACCCATCCATCCAGACCCTATAGCTCCTTCCTATCCTAATGGCTTTTTCTTGTGAATGAGTGGCTCCTCCTTTCACCCAATCGCCCTCTATACCCGCTCGAAGGTTCCAGATTACAATGCCTAGAATCCATCCCCTCTTCCCTTATGACCCCCTCCTCTCCTTTCATGTGGTCATTTCCCAGCATGGCTGCGCTACTCATGACATTTCCTTGCTATTTACTGTGTTATATAAAAAGACAAATACATGATTAATCATTCATGATGAATATGTTTTTATGTTTTATTTGCATATTTCAGTGAGTTTTCCTCATTTTCTTCCATATACTTTTTCCATATTAATACAAAAGTCTAATTCTGAATTAAACAAATATGAGACAAGAAAATAAGAAACATGTAACACAGAAGGTAGCCTATGCACATCATGTTTAAAAGAGGATCTACTGAGTGCATATACATACTCACTCAACCCCACATACCCACCCACCCACAGCCACACACACTTATGCTTAATGCACATGGGTAGGCTCAATATATGAACAGCCAATGTGATAGGACTCCCCTGGTTGCAATAGACTGGGAATCATCAATGTAAAAAGACCAGATTTTCAAAGAGAAAGAAAGAAAGAATGCAGGAAAAAAGAGGGTAAAGAGAGAAAGAGAGAGAGAGAAAAAAAAAATTTGTTAATTCAGTTACATTCACTAGGGCAAAGTAACAAGTAAACTAAATATGAAAACATGGAGAGCCGGATTTTGTTGGCGATGGAGACCCTTTACAGAGAGAAAGAAAAGGGGGACAAAAACAAGAAAAGCCAATTTAGGATAAGGCTTTTCCTATTTTCTTGTACTTTTTATTGTCTTTGCTAAGATGAATCTGCTGCTACCAATACATATAATAATAATAAAAAAAATATTAGTTTCTAAATAAAGTGCTATTCATTAAATTAACATCTGCACTGCTCTTGATAAAAGCATTTAGACATTCTGTTTCAACCCCAAATATCTAGGAAAAACTTGCAATTGAAAATCTAATGAACTGTTTAAAATGCTGTGTATTCCTGATCCTCAAATGTTTCAAATATAATGAGTGTCTCCGGATTGCATGTCTTTAAATACCACACCTTTAACCCATTGCCGCCGGGTGGCACGTACATACATGCCATGGCTGTTGTGGACCAAACGCCGGGGGCATCATGTCATGCCCATTCCCGCGCTACTGGCTCGTCGGACAGAGGTTGTTTTTCTCCGGTAGTAGCAGCTTCATTTATATGGTAAAGATTTTAGGCAATGGCACCTAAAGTGAAGGTAAACCTTCAAAATTTTAATATTTTTATAAATTTTAGCAAAATAAAAGCTTTTAAGTGCTATATGTCGCTCGCAAACTACCGATTGAGCCGGGCGCAAACAAGGGAAACTGCCGGTGCGCGCCAACAAGCCCGTGCATACGTAAACTTGCCAAAATTTTTACCCCTCGGTGATGGGTTAAGAGGTTTCCAAGCAGGAAATATCCTCACCTATTTTTTTCAATCTTCCCTTTTTTAATATATACCTTTTTTCTGTAATATTTACATGCTGATAAAAAAAAAAAAAAAAAAATGTATATCCTTGTATAAATGATTATTGATGTGGCCATGTCTTTTATTCTTTAATTTGTCGTGTTTCCTGAAAAAATATCTCACCTGAAACTTTAAAATCAGCCTCCCAACATAAAAATAAAATCATACAAAAAAAGAAAATAATAATAATAATAATAAAAATAAAACAAACAAATAAATAAAAAGAAAATAAATAAATGTACATTCAATTTGTCTTTCCAATGGCAAACTTAGTCATCTGAACTCCATCTGAAATCTAGCTATTCCCAACTAAGTGGGCAAGGGGGGATAATAAAAAATAAAATCAAAGCAAAACGCAACAAAAAATTATCATAACTATGCCTCTAACTGGTTTGCAACTAAAGAAAAACTAAATAAATATAACCCTATCAAAATCTTTATCAAGACCATCCCACATGAGGAGAGAAGTTCAATAAACCTTGCAAATTTTCTTATATATTTTTGACATCATTTGTGTCAATACTGACAGTTCAATTAATTATAGAAAAAAATCCTCATTTACAGATGCTTATTATTGTTCTGTGATAAAATGAGCAAAAATAAGCTTACAAAATGACCAAAAACATATTAGAAAAATAACAAATAAAAGTTTACCCAGTTAGCTGGAAGTCATATTTCAGAACCAATACCGTTCAAACCACGGATTTCGATTGCCTCTCCATTTATACAACTAAAATCTGAAGTGGCAAAGAGCACATTCAACTAGATTTTTTTCTTGATAAATCTATTTAATTTTTCTAAGCTAACAAGCTCAATTGTGAAAATGAATCTTATTTTGAAGCAAATTATCTCATTGTGGATGATTCCTTAGATGGTATTCAAACCCATTTTATAATTCAATGCTCATTCACCTGAATTTCCCTCTCAACATGGGATGGTCCCTTTAACATTTCTTAACATCATGTCTTTTTTTGGAACAACTATATTGTACTTTAAATTGATAACTTTTCTTGGAATTTAAAAAGTAACAGAAAAATACACAAACCTACAGCAAAAAAAACAACAACAGAATTTCAATTTTACAGTATCACTTTTTTGCTTTAGCTGTGTAATAATTCTGAAGACTTACCTCTGATACACACAATGATTCCTTATGGCTTAAAAGTATATCTGATGATTTCTACGACCATGTCTGGTGCGTTCACTACTGCGTTGTGGTGAAAAATTGGTTCTTTCCATTTCCATGTCTTCTTTTCTCCAATACTTGCTTTGCTCCCTCAAGAAGTCATCCAACTCTTCTGAAAGTCTCCGTTCTTGCAGCCTCCGTAGCCTGCTTTCCGTCTCTTTGGTTTCTTGCTCAAGGACCTTCAACCTCCTCTCCACTTTCTGTTCTCGGAGACGCAGCAAGTGTATGCGTAAATCTTCTTCACGTTGCTCTTCTTCCTTCCTTTGATCCTCTGACATATACCGGTCAGGTCCTCCATGGTTGTGAATGGGAGAAGGATCATTCATTCTTGGTGAGTAATCATCCTGGAAATCCTCATGAGCATCTGCCGCATGCCCAGAAAATCTATGGAACCTTGACGGGGGTACAGGCTCCACGGAACCATCTTGTGAATGTGAACCTGTTGAGTATTTTTTTTGTTTAGATTATGTTCCAGTAGTCTTCCTATTCATTCAAATGGGAAAAAGTCCATGTAACCCTCTTAACCAATATGTATGTATATGCATGTATACAACTAAATATTGTAAACATTTTCTTGAAATTTTAATTATTCCTTGAAAATAAACAATCATTCTGCTTTATATCTACACTGACAAGAATGCACTTTTTTTTCTTCAAAAGCTAATGTTTTCATACTGTGGAGAATATGGAAGGCAAAAAGGAAAAGATGAAGAGAGATAAAAAAGAGAGGAAGAAGACTGAAGAAATACATTCAATCATACAAGAAAAAGAGAGTAGTAGACAAATACAATACATCAATAAACATTACAACTGAAATACATAGTCTACCTAACATACACAAACTTCTACAGATATTAAAAAGGACACAAAATTGACAGCATATTACATCCCTCAAAGACAGCGGACTCAAAAAAGTTCCTATATAATGTGTTACTTCCTATCATGCTGTGATGAAAATAAATGGTAATTCATGATTTACCAAAGGGCCTGCATGGCACGTATGTATGCAGGATGTTATAATGGCAACCAATATTACATAATGGGTAACTGATTAAACGTCAGTAGAACACAAGGACAATGAAACTTTTAAGGCAAGTGTACAATCAACAGGTTTGTTATTAAAAATCTTATCTGTCTTTTCTCTTCTTTCTTTCCATATTAGTTACCATTAACCATATACTGTATAACTTCACCAAGTTTCATGCAAGCACAAGTCTTTTCATGTGACTAAAAAGAAAATACATTACTTGCATCTCAACATTTGAAATAAGTGAAACCTACCTCTATCTGACCTGTTCCTGTATGAATGGTTTGGGAACCTTTCTCTGTACGCTGGGTATGGAGACATTTCTCTTTCCTCATACGAAGGGCCTGGTGACGCTTCCCTATCTGCTTGGTATGGCGACCTCTCTCTATACGAGGAGGGTGGTAACCGTTCTCGGTAGGAAGGACTTGGTGATCCTTCTTTATAAGAACAAGGTGACCTCCCTCTATAAGAATGACCAGGGGACCTTTCTCTGTAAGGGTAGTCTGGTGATCCTTCTCTATAAGAGGGGGTTGGTGACTCTTCCCTGTAGGAAAGGCCTGGAGTCCTTTCTCTGTTGGGATAACCTGGTGATCCCTCTCTATAAGAAACACCTGGTAATCCTTCTCTAAAAGGGAGATCTGGTGACCTTTCCCTCTGGTTTTGTCTTGCCATCACTGATATCTGACCATTTGCATCACTTATCACAACCCCTATTCTTTCTAGGTGCCTCCTACAATCATCTGCCAAAGCCTCATTAATGAAGTGAGAAACTGGGTTAATTCTAGGCTCAAAATGCTCTTCGTGGCTTCCATGTGGCAGCTCTTCACCTAAGGATTTGTCAAAGTGATGTGCATATGCAGGATTGCCATTAAAATAATCTCTGAATGACTCCTTATAAGCCTCTCCCAAGTGTGCTCTATTGGCTTCTTGCTCTCCTAGTTGTGGAAAGACATTTGGGCTTTTATTCCACTTGGCTGTCTGTTTACTGGTCCTTTTCAATTCAAAAATATTATTATTGTGCAATGGCTCAACAATTTCTTCTGGATTTGGTATATACTGGTCAACATCATGGCTCTGCTCTTCTTCATCATTGCCAAATAATTGCTCAGCATAATGGAAATCAAATTCATCAAACACTGTTTTTCTAGGTTTCTTTAATACATCATTAATATCAGCGAGCTCCTGTTCTAGCTCAGTTTTTCTTTTCTTTGTCAGCAGGCTGTTGTTAAGGAGTTCATACACTTCTCTCCTACGCTTTCTGAGAAATCTTTTACTCTTCGCTTTACATGGACTTGTACTTTCTGCAGTTGACTGTGCATCAGATGTATCAGTCACTTGTTGTGTGTTAAAAGTATCACTGCCTTTCACCTTGTTTTCTTTGTGGGAATGGTCACTACAGGCAGAAGCACTGTCAACAGGTGGGCTATGTGGTGGTACCTGAGGAACTGTAGATTCTAGTTCAGTCAGTCTTTTTAGTTCTCTTACAATGGTCTGTCTCTCCTGCAACAATGTCTTCCTTTTCTGTTGATCTTGCATAGTCTTCAAGATTTTATTAATCTGTTTCCTACGTGTGTGCAGATTTCCTTTCTTCTTCTCAATATTTTTACTTTTTCTATTTTGCTGTGTTGGGCCGAAGGTGTAAACCGTGTTTCCGCCCGAAGCTGTCCCCATTCCATCTGAGCCAAGCCCAAAGCCACTCATCCCGCCGGCTGCAGGACTCTCCAATCCCTCAAACTCAGGGTCTTCAGACTGGCCGTATGGAAAAGCAAATGCTGAAGGAGGGGGCATCACCTGTGGTTTGGCAGATTCCATGTTGGCAGCGAGCAACCAAGACGCCATTTTGGAATTCATACGAATACAGAGATGATGAAAAATCAACACTACCAAAGATTATATTATCTATGGTTAGATATCAGTATCATGATTTTGTTGAGTCACACAATATTTTGTACTATGAAACCATCTGAGAAACACTGTCCACTTTACAAGCACAAATATTCTGTAGATTTTTTGGCACTACCAATTATCTTTTCATATTCTTCTCACTTCAGTTCAGCTATTTCGCACCTGTACAACCTGTTGGGGGGGGAAAAAAATAAATTAATAAATGCTTATTACAAAAAAAGGTCATGTGTTACATTTTTCAGAGCAGGATGACAATTTTTCTCAATCTGAACCCTAAGGTCTTTTTTTGCCATAATCGTGGCTTTCTTTCAAAAGACAGCATGGTCAGTCCCATTTGCCACAGATGTTTGAGGCATGTCAAAAATTGGCAGGATATATCATAAAAGAGACATACATAGTTTTCATTAGTATATCCGTAACAGTATGGCAAGTTAACCATTAGTCACACCCATATCACTCTTACAGCCTTACCTCCCCGTTCGCCCTCCTTTATTTTATAGGTGAAATACGACTGGAGACAAGGAAAAAGGGGAGAAGAAAGGGGAGGGAGAGCAGAACAGTGTAAGGGAGAGAGAAACTGAGAGGGTGAGGGAGTGGGAATGGAAGAAGGAGAGGGAAATGTAGAAAAAGAATAAGAGGAAGAGGATAAGGAGGAAGGAGGGAGATAGGAAAGGCATGAGGGGGAGGGAGAGGGAAAGGGAGAAAGACAGGAAAGGGAGAGACAGACAAATCGGAGAGTGGGAGTAAGGGATGGAAATGGTTGTAAATATATGTATACACACACACACACACATTACATATGTATGTATGTATGTGTGTGTGTGTATATATATACATATATATATATATATATATATATATATATATATATATATATATATATATATATATATATATATATATATATTATATAATTGCAACTGTTCACTTGCACATGCACATCCCTACACATACACACATGCCCCCCACCCCACTTCACACACAACAATCCAAATATGGGGGCACCCTGCTGGTATCTATAGGTTAGTTTAGGTCAGGTTGGGTCAAAGTCCATTTAGACTAACTTAGGCTGGGTCAAAATTAAGTTGGACTCAGTCAAGTTAGATTAAGTAGGTATGGCTCGGACAAATACTAATAGCTAAGCAAGTAACAAAAACTTATTAATATTTGTATCAAGAAATCAACTAAAAAGGGACTACATTCCTGATAATAACTATAACCAAAGTGCTTATAATGTGCAATGTTCTTTTTTACAAATTTTACTTTATGCCGACCAACTTTAGTGATGATATTGGCCATGCCAGGGATTTGGTTAGGTAGAGAGGAATACCATAGCAACAAATTATGCTGTCATGATGCATTACGCTAAAATCTACAAAATTGGTTACTTTCAGTTTCACACAGCCAAATGGTACATATTTAACTTTTCCTGTGACTGACAGAATAGCAAAAAATAAGACTTTTCATCTATGGTATCTTCTTCGCAAGTTATGAAATGCATAACATTCTGATACACATTTACAAATTGCCTGCACTAAGATATAGGAAATCTAATAACACTGTCATAATTAGAGGGATAAAATTACACTCACTTATACATAAAACAATTTCCACAGGCAATGGTTTAAGTATGAAATGAAAAAAAAAGAAAAATAGGTCTCAGTAAATGCCACGCAGAAACAAAGTTCACGGTGATTGGGCTGGGGATAAAGCCCTACATATGGAAGATTTTTGGTTACAGAAATGTTTTTGTATTCCCATGAGTTGCTGGAGTAACCTGAGCTTCTCGGAGGGCTGCGATAACTTTGTCAACAATTTCAAATATTTTTATTTACATCATCTGCGATGGAAAACAACAAGAGATTTGCACATACTACACTGTGAATACTTGAAACAAAAAGTAATAATTGCAAGGTTGGATGACTGTGTGAGACTAAAAAGTTATCCAAAATCTTTATCTTTGTCTATTCTGGCCTGGGTTCTATTTTACCGATAAATACCATTACTTCTAGTTGATGAGAATGCGGGTACAAGCAGTTAGTATATCTTTAAAAGAGGATATTTACAGAAAAGTTTATGATATAAACTGTTGTTTTACTTATCAATCATGAAATATCCAAAAAATATCTTATGCTCTCTCCTGCTATCAGGGAAATATTCTTAATAAAATCAAACAGAACAGACTAAAACAATTACAAATAGATAACGCACACCATCAGCAATCTATCTAAATCTAGTGATATTGCTAATATGGCCTTTAAATAACATTAACAAATACAACAATAACAGAGACATGAAGACAAGCACATAGACATACAATCATGTACAAAATCACAAACAACCTTATAGACATCAACAAACACGAATACTTACAAGCAGCACACACGCAACACAAGGAACTCACACACCAGTAAATTCGTCACATACCACACCAACACTGACTCTTACAAGCACTTGTTCTTCCCACGTACGATCAGCAAGTGCAATCATTCTTCACACAACGATAAGCACTGGAACAGGCTCCCCCAACACATAATTAACACTATAACACTCAACACTTTCACAAACAAACTAAATAAACACTTAACACTACAAGCACTTTCTCAAACACTGACACTTCCACTTGCACCTTAATCCTTCCCCTTTTCCCCCCAACCACCAACCACCAATATGCGTGTTATGCGCTCATTAGAACCCTGCATATTACTATAAGATTGAGAGTGAGAGAACATACTATCACGGCATTCGTAATTTCCCAACTCAAAAATTGCTGATCGGCACTTCAGTAAAGACCAGTAATCCTCCACTCCGTAAAATCTGGCACAACCGTACATTTCCCCAATTTGTTTGTCAAATACTAAACCAGTCTTCGCTTGCCATGATATAATAGTTGGGGGAGTGTTTGTTTTAGCCAGAGTGCCCACTGGTGTAATTCTTAAGTACATCTATAGAGAATAGCAGTTTTCATGTCTATAAGCAATACTTCAGCCATGAAAAGTAATTATAGCTTTACTAATATTGGCTTTTATATAAAACAAAAGAATGATAAAACTCCCAATATCATTAATACACTGAATACAGCATTGATAACATGTACACAAAAAAATCATCAAAATCACACTGATAACACAATAAAACTGAATTTGGTCTATTTTATCAGTACACCAGCGGTTCAGATAACTACGTAGATAACCCTTTCCTATTTCAGCAAATCAATATTAACCAAAAAGCAGGAAAACGTAACAAGTTGTAGGCTTTAAAGTTGCCATAATCATGACGTTTTCCTCAATACCTCCTTTCTTTTCATGGTTATCTTCACTCTTTTTGCCTTTCTCACTGCCGTTATTCAATTCCTCTTCTCTCTTTCTCTCCCTCTACGAAAATTGAGCTCAATTCAACACAGCGTCACTAAAATATCCTCAAAATAACAAAATCATTTCGACTTTCAACCTCGCCATCTCGCCTCCTCCAATCTACTTTTTTCCTCCTTTCTACAAACCTTCATTAATTATGCCTCCTCTTCTTGGCCTCATAATTACACCCTCCATTCACTCGCGGCCTCGTAGACACTGATAAATAGTGGTGGCAGTGATAAAAAATGGGAGAATGGAATTGTAGTTTCCCCTTCAATACACACCAGTGTTGAGCGAACGCCATGTGCCTCTCATGACCCTGAGTTGGAGGTGGCGGATTTTTTTTTATTTCGTTTTATCCTCGTTTCTGCTTTTATTTGGTGGGTTTTGGGTTGTTATTTTTAAGGGGGAGGGTTGTGGGGATATTTTGGTTGGTGTTGTTAAGAGCGTGTGGTTTATTTGGTGCTGTTTATAGGGAAAATATAGAGGATTGTTGGTATAGTGGTTACTGGTATTCGTAGTATAGTGGTAGGAATGGTACTGTAATGTTATAAAAGTGGAATATTTTTCATATTTACGTGCGATTTTGATTCCCATTTTAACAAGGAACTTCTTTGATCATCGGGATTAATTCATGATCCAGGAAACAGTTGGGAATCATTAAGAAATGGCGATAAAAAATCCTATAATAATTCCACTTCTCCAATATGGGGAAGGGGGAAGATTTTGTACTACGCGATAGTAATGATGAAATGTGCAAAAGCGCGCGCGGGAACACACACACACACACACACACACACACACACACACACACACACACACACACACACACACACACACACACACACACACACACACACACACACACACACACACACACACACACACACACACACACACACACACACACACACACACACACACACACACACACACACACACACACACACACACACACACACACACACACACACACACACACACACACACACACACACACACACACACACACACACACACACACACACACATTTCTAAACATTCTTAGATCTCTGACACCCCAACATCTAAAAACGTATTAATTTCAAATAAAAAAGAAAAAAACATTGACTCCTAGAATTGTAAAGAGAAACGAAACGAAATCTATACAGGAATAGAACGCGTTTGTTATAATACTTATAAACCACTTTTAACGTTATTCAAAGGTTATTAATCAAATTAATCAAAATTCACAATTCTAACATTCCTTTAAAAAGTTATCGATTGTATTACGTCTATAATATTAATTTCTGATTTTTTTTTATTGCGTTTGACCATCATCATTATGTTTATCCACATAATTGTCATCTTCATCATTATCATTATCAATGTCATTATTATTATGATTTTAAGTATCATTATTGTTGTTATTATTATTACTATTATCATTGCTAATATTTTTCTCAGGTCATTATTATTGTTATTATTATTATCATTATTATTATTATTATTTGTATTATTTATATTATTATTATTATTATTATTATTATTATTATTATTATTATTATTATTATTATTATTATTTTTATTATTATCATTATTATTATTATTATTATTATTATTATTATTATTATTATTATTATTATTTATTATTATTATTATTATTGTTTTATCATTATCATTATTTTTTGTTCTTATTTTCACTATTTTCATTTTCATTATCACCATTATCATCATTATCATTGTTATTACTGTTATTATTATTGTTATTGGAATAATTTTTCTTCTTCTTCTTGTCATTGTTATTATAGTTATTGTTATTATTGTTGTTACATTGTTATCATTATTACCAATATTATTGTTCTTACTTTTTTTCTGATTGCTATCATCTATTATTATTATTATTATTATTATTATTATTATATTATTATTATTATTATTATTATTATTTATTATTATTATCATTATTATTATTATTATTATTATTATTATTATTATTATTATTATTATTATTATTATTATTATTATTATTATTATATTATTATTTATTATTATTATTATTATTATTATTATTATTATTATTATTATTATTATCATTATTATATTATTATATTATTATGATTCTTATTGTATTATATCATTATTATGATATTATATTATCATTATTGTTATTACTATTATTATTTGTGTTATTATTTTATCATTATTATTGTTATCGTTATTATTATTATTGTTGTTGTTATCATTATTATCATTGTTATCACTTTGATCATTATCCTTATTATTATTATTATTTATTATTATTATTATTATTATTATTATTATTATTATTATTATATTATTATTATTATTATTATTATTATTATTATATTATTATTATTATTAATTAATTATATTATTATCATCCTTATCATAATCATAATTTTTATTACTAATGTTATCATCATTATTATCATTATTATTATCATCATTATTATCATTATTTATTATCATCATTATTATCATCATCATTATTATTATTATTATTATTATTATTATTATTATTATTATTATTATTATTATTATTATTATTATTATTATTATTATTATTATTATTATTATCATTATCATTATTATTATTATTATTGTTATTATTATTATCATTATCATAATTATTATTATTATCATCATTATCATCATTATCATTAATATTATTATTATCATATTAATATTATCATTATTATTATTATCATCATTATATTATCATCATCATATCATTATTCTCATCATCATTATTGATATTTTTTTCATTGTTGTTATTGTTATTAGTTGTTAGTATTATTTGTATCATCAATTTTATCCTACTATTTATGTCTCTGATGTCCTTAATTATTTAATTGTCCTATCTTTTGTTATATGATTGTAACTTTTATCATCATTGTAAGCGTTTATCATTCGCACTATTAATGCCAAATTAACATCGTCTAATGTTGCTCATATTTCTATGCTATTATCAATCATCAATAATTTTTATCAGTCAGGATAATCAATATTATAAGCGCTGTGCGTATAATACACTTAGATCGCAGTGCGAATAGCAGCCAACACAGCGGGTTCACCAAGAGCTTCGTGAGATTCGAACTTCCTATCTCACGGTTCGGAATATTGATTCACGATTTCGAATCCGATAAGTGTCATCTGACGAAGGAGGAGAGAGAGAGAGAGAGAGGGAGAGGAAAGGGAGAAAAATGGAGTGATTCGGAGACTAATACGCTCGAGAAAAGTTGGTTGGCATTGGGAGGAAATAAGGAAAGATGACTGTGGACGACCGGTCTTTCTTCAGCAAGTGTGTGGTCCAGCTGGCTCGCACTCTGGCCAAAATAAAGCCAACGCCACAAGATAAGGTCAGTGTTGTTGATTTTGGGATGAAAGGTCACGTCTGCTTATTTATTTATTTATTTATTTTGGTGTGTGAGGGAGGGTCAGTAGCACCATGATGGCATGTAGTGTGTGATTTGTGGTATTGGGATTTAAATTAAGCCATAAAAGTTGGGGTTATGTAAAGTGTTTAGATAAAAAGTCTTTTTCGAGTTTAAGACAAGGTCAGAAGTTTAAGATAAGGTCAGGAATTATAGTATGGTCAGATTAGTGTGATTTGGATTCTTTGGAGGACTTGGCAATACTAGAATAAAGCCAATAATTACCTAAAACCTATGTTAAACCCAAGTCAAGGTCAATAATATTTGATTTTGTTGGACAGGAAGGGTTTGAGGAGGTCAGAGATGAGGTCAATATTGAGAATTTGATCAAGTGTATTTAAAGGTCAAATATTAGCCATTAGAATTCTTTTGTCATTTGTGGTCTTGGTGATTAGATTATTTAACAAGAGAAGGTTTAAATAGGGAAGTTGTTATCAAGGTCTTAATGGAGGTTAGGAGTAAATATAATTTTTTGGATATTGATGTGTATATATTCATTTGGAAACTAACATTATTTGATGATGAAGACTTTTTTTCTCCTTTTAAGGTTTTGTCAGGGCTGGGAGGGGAGGGTTACAGGTAAAAAAAAATCCATATATCTTGGGTATTAGGGTTATGACAAAGCCAACTAAGTGCACCTTTATTTTGAGGAGCTAGAGCATGTAGGCCTGTGTGGCGCTGTATCTAAAATGAGATAAAGTTCTATGGAATGTGTATTAGTAAAGGTTTCTTAGCCTTTGCCTGAGCGCTGAGAGTTGCGGGGAGCGTAGTGTGTTCGGTTTTAGATTATAGGCTAGCACAGGTTAGGATGCGTTTTTAAGCGAATTCGGAAGGAAGATAGTCTTATTTTAAACATTTGTAGTATTATTTTACTTATTTGTGTTATTTATGTTCATGATATCTTGTTTTGTTAGATTTAAGTCAAAGTCTGTCGATTTAAAGCAATCTTTATGAACACTGAAATGTTTATGGTTAAAGGACATGCTATATTTTGAAGAAAATTTATTATTTTCATTGTATATGATGTTGTTTAACTGCATCCAAGTGAAAAAATAGTGCAGTAGTGTGATTGTTATTAAAAATTCAAATATCGTAAAGCAACCAAAATTTTCCGAGTCAGAAATTGCATCATACATGTTTTGTGAGAAGTAAAGATTCATATGGAAGTTGCTTCATTACAATATTATATTAAAAAGAGGACTATTTTACAGTAATTACGTTATTAATGATATTATAATTATAAAAACCAAGGAATTAGCTATGGTGTTCATGTCCTTTTCAAAACCAGGATGTAGGTGTTGATGTAGCATTACTCAGCAGAATATCTTGAAAGGCTTATGGTATTTGAAAGTCACTGATAGGTAAGAGTCATAATTAGATGACATCAAAAATCCTCCTCCTCCTCCTCCTCCTCATCATCATCATCATCACTATATGTTATTACTTTGTTATTATAATTATCATTATTATTGTTATTAATTTTAATATTATTATTATTATTATTAATATTATCATTGTTATTAATATTATTATTGTTATTATTATATTATTAATATTATTTGTTATTAATATTATTATTGTTATTAATATTATTATTGTTATATTATATGTTTGTTATTATATTATTGTTATTATATTATTATTGTTATTATTATTATTATTATTATTATTATTATTATTATTATTATTATTATTGTTATTATTATAATACTATTATTATCATTATCAGTCATGATCATCATCATCATTGTCATTACATATTATTGTTACTTGTTGGTTATTATTATTATTATATTTATTGTTATCATTATTATTACTACTACTACTACTACTACTATTATTACTGTTATTATTATTATTATCATATTATTTTTTTTTATTATCATTATTGTTATTATTATTATTTTTATATTGTTGCTATTATTTTTATTATTATTATTATTATTATTATTATTATTGTTGTTGTTTGTTGTTGTTGTATTATTATATTATTATTATTTTATTATTATTATTATTATTATTATTATTATTACTTGGTATTAAGATAGTCATTATGATCATAGTTATCTTTATCATACATGACTGATTAATGAGTATTAGAAAAAGCCTGTTGAAATTAATAATTGGCTGTGTTTGGTCTGCTAATACAACAATTTCATATATGTTCAAATTTTACAAGGTACGAATACATTTAGTACTATATGTTTAATTTCTAGCAAATATTTGTAGTTTCTGTTGTTACTGCATTTTTTTCATGGTTTGAATAAGTATTTTTAACTCTTCTAGTAAAATAAACTAACAAAATTAGATTTATCAAAGAGGCGTGCTTTGTAGTAAAGTAATATTGTATTGAAAGGCACAAGGTAATATGCAAAAGGATATATATGTTTTTTAATTGTTAGGATACATTATTACATATATTTTGAATATGTTTTTGTTCTTTTTAAGAAATTTTGGAGAACATTTTTTTGAAGATAATGTCTAAGCAGTCTAAAAATATGTACATCTAACAACACTAAAATGTTTGTCAGTGTATATCCACTGTAGGCCACATGGGATATGGAATTGGGGGTGGCCTCCTCTGGACTCCTTCTCTGAGTTAATTATGAAAAAATTTGAAAAATTCTGTATGAAAAGTATTAATTCTACTATGAAAGTTAATGCGTTTTATTATATATTCATCAGAATTAGGTATTCTGGTGAAGATGTAATATTAAAATGCTACTAGGCAGTCCAAATCACTCACAGCACCAGAGAGGCTAGAAATCCCAAACTTTTGATCCAAATGCTTGATCAGTACTAACAGATGATTCAGTTTAGAAAGCCTTATCAGGCAGGTCAGTTTCGTGCACAGTAAATACTGCAATGTAATGTGATTATTATTGTGACCAGGACTTAAATTATAGTATGCCTGTAGTGAAAGCTCTTAGTAAACAAATGACCACTATTAACTTGTCTGAACTATGACTGGTTTATGTGGCTGGTAATTCACAGGAACATAATCTTAACTGATTATAGCTACTGTAAAAAAAAATGAAAATAAAAATAAACGTATGGAATTCATGCTTGTTTAGGCTATATGCAATCATGTCATGTGTGATAACAAATAACTTTCTTTAATATTTCTGCCATCTAGATTTTAAGATTGATTGATTGAAACAGACTTGCTCAGTAAAGTAAACGACTTCCCACAGGTTGAGAAGCTCTTATCCCTCTGTCCGGGGGAGAGCCATGGAGGAGTTTACCGTGTGGACCAACGAGGACAAGATGCTGTGGTTGCACTAGGAGTGTATTTTCTTGAGTCTGGCCTGCAGCATGAGGCCTTAATCCTTCAGTACCTTCTCCGACTGCTTCGAGCTCTCCCGAAGGCTGTATGGCTGGATGAAAAGAAAATCAACTTGACAGATCGTAAGTGAAATGATCATTTTGGTGTGGAGTAGTGTTATTGATAGTGATAAAGGTATTTTATAGGTTAAAGGGATAGAAATTATATGAAACTTGTTAAAACAGGGTAAAATGTCCTGTAGCTATGATAATAATGGTAATCATTGTTATATGAACCTGGTGACCAGTGCCTGTGTATATGTGTGGAATTCATGATGAACAAATTGCAACTGGATCAATAAAGGGAAGAACAAGAAAACACACGAGTATGCTGAAGGCCTTTTTCCTATTGCTTATAGCGAAAAGGCCTTCAGCATATTTGTGTGTTTAGATGTATTGCTGTGTTTTCTTGTTCTTTCCTTCATTGTTCCTGTGTACATGTATTCTCCTCCATGGTTTTGTTTTATTTTTCTTCTTGTATGTCTAGCTCTGAGTCACCAGGAGGCTGATCACTAGACCTATCTGACGTCATTTGTATCCCTCATATCTTGAATTCTTTGTTTATGTTGCTATTATTAGCATTGTTAATATTACATTTGTTGTTCTTAGAAGAATGTCATGATGATATTAATAATTATCTTAGTAATGGAAATTAATACTTTTTTTACTCAGACATGCAAGGAATAGGATAATTATTGTGTTAATGACTCTTTGGAGATTTTGAAGAACCGTAGAGTTAAATGCATTTCTGGAAGCAAAGGATTAAAGACTCTTTTAGGGGTGATAAGAAAGAAATGATGTGGATATTAGATGTATTGCTGTGGTGAGAATGTGTTTATGTTGGCAACGTGAATGTATAGAAAATTACTCGGAATGATTATATTGCTTTATTGTTATTAAATGATAATATGAGTGATCATTATTTGTATGAGATTTGAAAAGCCTTTTAAATGACATTTTGGAAAAGTGATAACATGATAGCTAAGATAGTGATTGAAATATAAAACATTTTCTCAGCAATAACAAGATTTGTTAATATGATAAAGAGGACTGTTATTATAACCTTCCTACAGGCCTTACTGGGAATGGTGTGTAATCGCTCTCGCACGCCTTGGCACACACGTCCCTTTTCCTAGAAGTGCGATTTATCACACACCTTGATTTGGAATAGTGAACTATTTTATTATATTTGATGTTAAGGGAAACACGCACAAATAAGCAAACCTGATATTGTCTTCCGAAGTTTCTTGTTAGTTTATCATGAGTTTCTAAGTTCTTAGCATCCTAGTTAACATTTCTTAATTTACAATGATTCACCTACTGTTCCTTGTAAGTGTTTTTTTAAACAAGTGTGTGTAATGTTAATGTAAAATTGACTTAATATGCAGAATTTCTTAGCTAAAGTCACTATACTTTTTATCAATTTTTGTTGTCTTTGATTCTGTTTAGAGATATTTAATTTATTGATTTGTTTCTTTACTGCTTTCTTTTTTTCTGCAAAGCAAGTCCAGGCAGTTCTTTTCAATCAATATCCAAGCTTTTCAACTACACACCATCGCACGCGGGGAATGCTCAAGGAGTGCGATTTACCGTACACCTGCAAATTTTTTTCATTAAGGCTTATTCTTACATATCATTGAAAATGATAGATGTTATTTATTTTCTTATAGCTTGTAGTTTTTTAAATCCTCTCACTTGTTATTATTACACATTACAGGCATACCAGTTGCTGAGCGTTTCAGCTTCTTGCTCACAACACTTCTGAGTGATGTTGCAGCACAAAGTGAGACTGTGCGCGACGAGATTATCAATACACAAATCGAGGTTTTGTCAACCCTGACAAATGGAATCATTAGGAATGTGCGAGATGACCAACTACGGTCAAGTAATGCCAAGAGTGAGTGTTCTTTATTGAATTGAAATGATTATCAAATTATTTTGGTTGCATAAGCCATTTGCAACATCAGAAAGAAAGTATATATGTAATTTTTTTTCTTTTAGAATCATTTTCATTTGCTTTTATATACCTATATTTTTTGTCAGATATTCCATGATTCATACATAAAGAACTAGCAATGAAAACAAAAACAATTAATGAAACTTTGGCCAATTTCAGTATCCCTGTGCCGTGGGACAATACCCGTTTTATTGGGCCTGGCCCGTGCCCTAGGCAGATCTACATCGGGAAACCCTCTGTTTCTGCGCATCTTCCCAGCTCCAACCATCCCAACACCTGTGCCTGCGGAGACAACACAGATGGCGAAGAAGAAAAGCTTCAGTAACTTTCGTCCCATCATTCCAAGGTCATTGTCGTCCACCTTGCCCTCCTGTCCTGACGTGGTTTCACTCGTCAGTGTAGATAGCGACCGGGACATTGGGTAAGTTGGTGTCGAACCCCTCCTCTCCTTTCCAGTTAATGTTGTCAAGTGCCAGTGATCAGTTGCAGCAGTAATGGCATAGGTAAAGCATGGTCATGCAGTTGATACATTTCTCAATTTTGGGGTTTTATGGGATCCACCTTTGACTTGGAAAAGATTGGATCATGTAACGGGTTTCATTGTCGAAAGATTTTAAGTCTTGACATTTGCTTAGTAAGTTCAAATAGCTTCTGAAATGTTTTGTTTATTGGAAAGAATATGTCTAATTTGTCTCTGATTTTGACAACTTTAGGTTAAGGCTATTTATTAGAGAATCATGAATGATAGGGTTGATCATAAATGTTCCCATAGTTTTATTTATTTACTTAGTTTACTATTATTATTATTCTCATTATTTGTAGTACTTTGTAAGATACTGAAGATTTTGACACCTAGGTCATTGACCTTTATGGTAGCATTTTTGTTTCTTCTTCCTCTTTATTTGTCTTTTCTCGGTGTTTTGTAGGATTTTTGCGTTAATCACCGAAATTGAAAGTAATTGAAGGTCTCACAGATTTTTCACTGGTTCTCGCACATTCCGTATATTTTTTGTGAGAAACTAAAATAAGGAACTCAGCAGCCCTAGATGGGAGCTTTCTACAGTGATGCTTCTTCTTACAGATGGGGACTGTAAGTTTTAGCTATTTGTTATCATTTTCGAAAGTCTCAGATATCAACGAGGCAATTTTAATTTGACCCTCTGTTTACTCTACAAGGATTATTTCGTCACCATATAAGTACCGTTTGGCACATCACAGTGGGCACCCCCACACCTCTAGCATGGAACCGCTATTGCATGTGGCAATGAATGCTGTGTGAGTGATTTCTGGCAGTTTCCGAGATAGATGAATATTTGAGTGAATTAGTGTGTTTTGATTCCCTGAATAAGTCAAAACTTCTTTTTAGGTGTGATGGAAAAAGAGTTGTCAGGGATTTTGATAATGTAAACACTTTCCAGCAAGAATGTGTAACCACAAGGAAAGAATTTGAAGGCTTAGTTATTTATTGGTGTGATAGACTTTGGAAGAATCTGTAGTGGAGTTATCTGCTTTTGTTTTGCGTATTATATGGCTATAAAGTAAAGTTGCGTTGTTGTTTTTATCCTAAGAATCTTAAATTGTAAAGATTCTCACAGCTCTTATCTTTAGGTAAACTAAATGTCCTAG